AACCAGGACTAAACCAGGTCTAAACCAGAACTAAACCAGGACTAAACCAGCACTAAACCAGGACTAAACTGGGACTAAAACCAGGTCTAAACCAGGACTAAACCAGGTCTAAACCAGGACTAAACCAGAACTAAACCAGGTCTAAACCAGGACTAAACCAGGACTAAACCAGGACTAAACCAGGTCTAAACCAGAACTAAACCAGGACTAAACCAGCACTAAACCAGGACTAAACTGGGACTAAAACCAGGTCTAAACCAGGACTAAACCAGGTCTAAACCAGGACTAAACCAGGTCTAAACCAGGTCTAAACCAGAACTAAACCAGGACTAAACCAGGACTAAACCAGCACTAAACCAGGACTAAACTGGACTAAAAACCAGGTCTAAACCAGGACTAAAACCAGGTCTAAACCAGGACTAAACCAGGTCTAAACCAGGTCTAAACCAGGAACTAAACCAGGACTAAACCAGGACTAAACCAGGACTAAACCAGTTCTAAACCAGGACTAAACCAGGTCTAAACCAGGACTAAAACCAGGTCTAAACCAGGACTAAACCAGGTCTAAACCAGGTCTAAACCAGAACTAAACCAGGACTAAACCAGGACTAAACCAGCACTAAACCAGGACTAAACTGGGACTAAAACCAGGTCTAAACCAGGACTAAACCAGGTCTAAACCAGGACTAAAATATTCAGGTCTAAACCAGAACTAAACCAGGACTAAACTGGGACTAAATCCAGGTCTAAACCAGCACTAAACCAGATCTAAATCAGAACTAAAACTAGATCTATACCTATACCAGGTCTAAACCAGGACTAAAGCAGGTCTAAAACCAGGAATAAACCAGAATTAAAATCAGGCCTAAACCAGGTCTAAACCAAATCAGGACTATAACCAGGTCTAAATCAGGACCAAAACTAGATCTATACCAGTTCTAAATTAGCACTAAAACCAGGTCTAAAGCAGGTCTAAACCACGACTTAAACCAGGCCTAAAACCAGGTCTAAACAAGCACTAAAACCAGGACTAAACCAGCACTAAAATCAGGACTGTAACCAGATCTAAATCAGGACTAAAACTAGATCTATACCAGGTCTAAACTAGCACTAAAACCAGGACTAAAATCCGGTCTAAACCAGGAATAAAAACCAGGTCTAAACCAGGACTAAACCAGGACTAAAACCAGATCTAAACCAGGAATAAAACAGGAATAAACCAGGTCTAAACCAGGTCTAAATCAGGACTAAACCAGGACTAAACCAGGATTAAAACCAGATCTAAACCAGAAATAAAACCAGGACTAAAATCAGGTCTAAATCAGGACTAAAACCAGGTCTAAACCAGGTCTAAAACCAGGTCTAAACCAGGACTGAACCAGGACTAAAACCAGCACTAAACCAGGACTAAAACCAGGTCTAAACCAGGACTAAAATCAGGTCTAAATCAGGTCTAAACCAGGTCTTAACCAGGACTAAACCAGGACTAAAACCAGATCTAAACCAGGAATAAAACAGGAATAAACCAGGTCTAAACCAGGTCTAAATCAGGACTAAACCAGGACTAAACCAGGATTAAAACCAGATCTAAACCAGAAATAAAACCAGGACTAAAATCAGGTCTAAACCAGTACTAAAACCAGGTCTAAACCAGGACTAAACCAGGACCAAACCAGCATTAAACCAGGAATAAAACCAGGTCTAAATCAGGACTAAAACCAGGTCTAAACCAGGACTAAAACCAGGTCTAAACCAGGTCTAAACCAGGACTAAAACCAGGACAAAACCAGGTCTAAACCAGATCTAAACCAGGACTAAAACCAGGTCTAAACCAGGACTAAAAGCAGGTCTATCAGGTCTATCAAACCACACATGTCGATGTTTAGAGGAGATTTTAAATCCCATTAGTAGATGAAAACATTACACAAGTATTATCACACTGATGAGAAATATGACTGACACACTGACTCTGATTCTGTTTCTGTCTGCAGCTCCGGGGAATTTGACACTCAATCATTTTATTTGAGACTTTTCTTTGATGAGGGATTCAGAACTTTGGATGAGGTAAAAGTCAGTGGATTACGACGGCAAATGTTGAATCTTATCGATGAAATGATTCGCAAATGAAAGATCACGGCGGGATTAGACGGACTGATGAAGAGTGAGCTGACGAAAGACGACGAGACGAGAGACGGAGCGAGAGACGCAGCGAGAGACGCAGCGAGGTGGAGCTTGTTCGGGATTCAGAGCGGTACGTTTGGAAAACCAGGTCTAAACCGGGACTAAAACAGGATTTAACCAGGACTAACATCAGGTCTAAACCAGGTCTAAACCAGGACTAAAACAGGATTTAAACAGGACTAACATCAGGTCTAAACCAGGTCTACACCAGGAATAAACCAGCACTAAACCAGGACTAAACCAGGTCTAAACCAGGTCTAAAACCAGCACTAAACCAGGACTTAACCAGGTCTAAACCAGGTCTAAAACCAGCACTAAACCAGGACTTAACAAGGTCTAAACCAGGTCTAAACCAGATCTAAACCAGGTCTAAAACCAGGTCTAAACCAGGACTAAAACCAGGTCTAAACCAGGACTAAAACCAGGTCTAAACCAGGTCTAAACCAGGTCTAAACCAGGACTGAACCAGGACTAAAACCAGCACTAAACCAGGACTAAAACCAGGTCTAAACCAGGACTAAAATCAGGTCTAAACCAGGTCTAAACCAGGTCTTAACCAGGACTAAAACCAGGTCTAAACCAGGTCTAAATCAGGACTAAACCAGGTCTAAACCTGGACTAAAATCAGGTCTAAACCAGGACTAAACTAGGACTAAAACCAGCACTAAACCATGTCTAAACCAGATCTAAACCAGGACTAAACTAGGACTAAAACCAGGTCTAAACCAGGACTAAACCAGAACTAAAACCAGGTCTAAACCAGGACTAAACCAGGACTTTGTGACTTTTCTTTGATGAGGTAAAAGTCAGTGGATTACGACGGCAAATGTTGAATCTTATCGATGTGAACGATTCTCAAATGAAAGATCACGCGGAGATTAGTGGGACTGATGAAGACTGAGCTCGGGAAAGACGCAAATGCAAATGCGACGTAAGGAAAGGAAGACGAGACGAGAGAGACGGAGCGAGGTGGAGCGAGGTGGAGCTCGTTCGGTATTCAGAGCGGTACGTTTGGAATTTGGAAATGGACTTGAGCAAATTCCATGGGCAAACAGCAGAGTGTACTCGGGCTGATAACGTATTTAGACGACTCAGCGTTAAGTGACAGAACAGAAGAGATGTCAAAAGTTGTGAGTGAAATAAAACCGTTTTTATTCCTAATGTAGCACTCAAACACTGAAGTTTACTTTACTAATAATAAAAACTACAGCCGTATTTTCCGGAGTATAAGTCACACCCGCCAAAAAATGCGTAATGAAGAAGAAAAACACATATATAAATCTCACTTTTTGGGGGAAATGTATTCTAAAATCAGAGACCAGGAACCAACATTTGATCTAGAAAGTTCTAGTAAAAACATGAGAACAGAGAACAACAGACTGTTAACGTCACATATGAACATTTCTTCAGATAAACTATAACAGAAACAACAGAACAAGTTTAACAAACTCTCCATCTCACTCCAAATCACTAAATCCATTCAATTCTTCATCCTGTGAGTCACTTCTGAGCAACTCGGCCTCGACCTCCGGAGGTGAAACAGAGCGACGCTTCCTCTTCTGTGTTGCTGTCGTCAGACTCAGCATCAGTTCCAGTTAGAATTATTCTGGTCTTTCTGAATTGGTTTCGATGTCACTGAAGTCCAGGCTTTGTCCATCCATCCAGTGACTTCAGGAAAGTTACATGTTCCCGTGAAGTTGTGTTCTCCATCCCCACTTTCCGTCAGTCCCTCACAAGTTTCTCGCTCACTCCAAACTTTCTTTCTGCTGCTCGATTACTGTTTTCGGCTGAATATTTCACAACTTGCAGCAGGACAGAGGCTCTTTCTGCAGGAGACATGCGCAGTAGAGCCAAGTGACAGTGGTACAGGAGGAACAGGAGCAGCAGATACTGACACACAAGACTAGAGCCTCTCAGCTTCAGTGTGAAAATTTTAATATATAAGTCGCACCGGAGTATAAGTCACAGGAAAGTAAGTAAGTCTTTATTTATACAGCGTTCTTCACAAAAATATGTCACAAAGACGCTTTATTAGCATTATTGGTTCACTCCAGACCCGGTGATGGTCAGCTTTTATTGTAGCCACAGCTGCCCTGGGACAGACTGACGGAAGCGCAGCTGCCAATCTGTGCCATCGGCCCCTCCGACCACCACCATCACTCACACACACTCCACTTTCATACTAGGCAATGAGGGTGAAGTGCCTTGCCTAAGGACACAACAGTTTTTGTGACTGGCGCCTCCCAGTGTCTCCATCCAAGGACAAACCAGACGCTTCCCTGCTGAGCCTCTGAGACCTGACGGGATCAGGCTCTGACAAGCTGCTATGGAAACACCCAAACCATGAAAAAAAGTGCGACTTATAGTCCAAAAAATACGGTACTGTAGTAATAATAAATATGACTGCATAATAAAGTACATTTATAATAATAAAGCCTTATAATAATGTGCTTTACAGGCTGGTTGAAGCGTCTTGTAGCTCGAACAGAACAGAAGTGAGGCTGAAAATCTGCACCATCAGGTCCTCTGACTCACACACACACACACTCACATACACACACACACACTCACACACACACACACACACACACACACACACACCACTTTCATACCAGGCAAAGTGGACAAAATGTCTTGCCTAAGGACACAATGACAGAACTTAGGAGTCAATCATCTAACCTTCCTTTCTTGTATTTAATCATAAACTAGTTTTTGACGAGTTGTTTCAAACCAAAATAGGTTTAAAACGCAAAAATGCAATCATATTTATTCAATATATCATGTTCCTTTTCATTTGTAATGCATTTTTTTAGTTTTACCTGGATTTAGAGAGGCTCCGCTGGGTGTTTTGGGCTCCGTCTCTCCACACGTTGGGCCTCGTGTGTTTGTTTGGACACAGGGTCAGGCAGAGGAAGTGGAGGTGAGGCTCTGGGTGAGGGGGGGTCTGCTCTGGGTGAGGGGGGGGTCTGCTCTGGGTGAGGTGAGGCTCTCTGGGTGAGGGGGGTCTGCTCTGGGTGAGGGGGGGTCTGCTCTGGTGAGGGGGGTCTGGGTCTGCTCTGGGTGAGGGGGGGTCTGCTCTGGTGAGGGGGGTCTGGGGAGGGGGGGGTCTGCTCTGGGTGAGGGGGGTCTGCTCTGGGTGAGGGGGGGTCTGGGTGAGGGGGGGTCTGCTCTGGGTGAGGGGGGGTCTGCTCTGGGTGAGGGGGGGTCTGCTCTGGGTGAGGGGGGTTCTCAGGAGGAGCTCACTGATAACAGGAGAGGAGACTCCTGGACCTGGACCAGGGTCAGTCATTACATTACAAACTCTACTACTACAACTGTTTTTTTAGTTGAAAGAAGAACTGTACACCACCTTTGAGTAGGATGTGTAAAATGACTGATAGAATGTGTAGAGCAGGGGTCTCCAACCTGTAGCTCGGGAGCGACCAGTAGCTCTCCACCCCCTTCCAAGAAGCTCGCGAAGGGATTTTGGAACCATACAATTGTGCTGAAGAACAAAAATGCGCTAATAAATAGACAATGGTTTATGTTTTATAGGCATCGAACTGTACCCCAAGGCTTGCCCTCTTTCTGACAATCGTCTCAATTTCTTGCGACTGCAAAAAAGGAGTAGCTCTTTGGCATTTTTGTTTTGTAACGGTAGCTCACTGGAGGAAAAAGGTTGGAGACCCCTGGTGTAGAGTGTTGATAACTAAACATTAAATATGATCAAACCCTTCAGTTTACCAGTGTTTCAAAAACACCTGAGACTCAGTTGAAGATGCACTTTGTAACTTTTCTGGTGGAGGGTCCACTACCTGCTTGACCAGGAATGTTCCACAGTACTGAACATAACATAAATTGAGGCCAAGTTACAGGTAAGATCTGCGGAGACAACGCTACAGGTATTTTTTGAAAACCACATGTAATTGAATAAAAGCAAAATGAAACTGTAGTTTTTTCAGTTTTCGATTTTGTGTTTAATGGAAAATGGAAACAATGGATAATGACCATTTCCCGTTTACGTGACTCCTGTGACTGCGATGTCGGACTTTTGCGCTGCATACGGACTGAACCAGGACTGATCCAGGTCTGGGACCAGAGCAGGACTGAGACCGGGACCAGAGGGGGACCCAACAGGGACCGAACCGGGACTAGAGCGGGACTGAGACCGGGACCCGCTCTGGTCCCAGACCTGGATCAGTCCTAGTTCAGTCCGTATGCAGTGCAAAAGTCCGACATCGCAGTCACAGGAGTCATGTAAACGGGAATCTGTTTTTTCCATTTTTCATTTCAACACAAAATCGAAAACTGAAAAAACAAATCATTATCTGTTTTTTCATTTTGGTTTTGGAGACAAATAATGATGAGAACAGTTGATTTTTCATTTTCTTATTTTTGGTTTTATATTGAAAAACGAATGAACGAATGATACACTGATTCACCTGCCAGGAGTGTGCCGAGCATCACTCAAACGTACAGAGAAGTGTCTGCTAAAATGTTTTGTGTTTTTATGAAAACTCGATCCTTTATATGTGTCCAAAGACATTCACCCAACCGTACACGTCCATTCTTATTCCCTTAAACATGTTTGTTTTGTGTATTGAATCTCATATTAACTAAGGATTTGCCCACGCGCCGTTTTAACGCTACATCCTGCTCCCGGTCGGCCGCTCGCCCTCTCCAGCTGTTGTTTTAGCTTTGTTTACCCAACATTCACCGGCGTCCATCTTGTCATCACCCGCGAAATGACTCCGCTGCCAAAAGAAAACCATAATGAGCACACACGCCGCGATACAGCGCTACGCTAATCCCGGCAGCTAGTCAAACAGAGCGCGGAGGGGCCGTTGTTAGCCCGCGCTCGGCCGCGGGGGCAGCTGTTGACACTGTTACCGCCGCGTTTCCTGTTAGCCCGGGCTAGCAGCTGGCTCGGCTCGGGGGTAAGTGAATGCTAGCAGCCGGCCCGATGACAGACGGCTTGTTTTGGCCTTTGGTTGTTACAGTATCTGCAGAGACAAAAGGAGCAGGGAGCGGAGACGGGACAAAAGACGTGAGAGTGAGTCACCGTGTGTGTTTGAGTGTTTGAGGGTAAGTTTAAAGGGATCAGAGGGAAGAAGAGGGGGACGTGTGGTTTGTGGTTTGTAGGTGCAGGTGGGAGCGTGGTTTGGTGAAATGAATTTTTAAAAACAATTCTCTTGAAGCGCATTTGTTGTGTTACCAGATGTGGAGCAGACTTACGGAACAGTTTAGATCACAGGTGTCAAACATAAGGCCCGGGGGCCAGATCCGGCCCTCCAAGACCTTTAATCTGGCCCTCAGCTGACTTTCTACTAAAACATTGTAATTATATTTTCTATTAAAAATTGTTCATTTTCTGTGGTGTTTATCACAGCAGCGTCTCCAGCGTCTCTGTACGTGGCCCCTCCCACCAGAGCAGCACAAATGAAGACTTGTCTCTTTCCAAACGCTCTTAAAGGACGATCGTTTTGACTGTTGACCGTGACACCCTCATCAGAAAAATGTCCAACATGAGAAAAGTGGAGCCGAGTGTAGGATTTTACAACAAAAATTGACACATTCCTGTTTCCATACAAGTTCATGTTAAAATATTGTGTTGAAATTGTATTTTTCTTAAAGTTTCAGGTTGTTTATAATATTATAATATTTTGTAAAAGAAAGAGTTCATCAATTAAAAAAGATTTCTGTAATAGATTTGTGTTTCTCTGCACAAATATGTGAACTTATTGTTATTTTTGGGGTTTATATGACATGAGTTTTTTGATCCGGCCCCTTTGAGATTAAAGTAGGTTGGATACGGCCCCCGGACCAAAATGAGTTTGACACTCCTGGTTTAGACGACCATATTGAAGCTTGTACTCATTTGGTGCACTTCAAAAAACAATAAAAAATAAATCTTAATTTAATCTTACAGAAATACCTAAAGGACTAGATATCAGAGGTGGGACCAAGTCGTTGTTTTGCAAGTCTCATGTAAGTCTCATGTCTTTTACCTCAAGTCCGAGTCAAGTCCCAAGTCAAATACAGGCAAGTCCAAGTTGAGTCTTGAGTCACTGGGCCGTAAGTCCAAGTCAAGTCCAAGTCGTCTGCTTTGAGCTTCAAGTCATTTCAAGTCGGAAGATAAATTGTACTTTAAAAAAAAAATCATAGTATATTTAATAATAATAATAATAATAATGATGCATCAGTTTTATTTAGCACTTTTTTGGACACTCAAAGACGCTTTGCAGAGCATTATTTATTCACTCCAGGTGATGGTAAACTCACACACCACATTCATACTAGACAATGAGGTTGAAGTGTCTTGCCTAAGGATACAAAAACAATTTTTACAACTGGTGCTTCCCGTGGCTCCTGATTTTTCCACTGTCTCTCATCCAAGTCCTAACCAGGCCCGGCCCTGCTGAGCCTCTGAGATCTGACGGGATCAGACTTTGACAAACCTGTATGGCCACATTATTTATATATGAATGTTTATAAAAGAGTTGTAGAAATGTAAACTTTTCCTTTTAAAATGTCTGGACAAGATCTTAGTGTGAATCATTACGGTCAGAATAGAAAGAATTCAGATTTAAAAGTGCTTCTCAAGTCACAGGCCTCAAGTCCGAGTTTAGTCCCAAGTCTTAGTCCATTTTATCAGGTCAAGTCTCAAGTCTTAAAAATAGTGACTCAAGTCTGACTCGAGTCCAAGTCATGACTTGCAAGTCCCCACCTCTGCTGATAGGTTATCCTCACAATTAAACCACGACACACACTAAACACATGCTTTTCTTTAACATTACCTTTTGTTTTGATGGGATCATGAACAATAAATTCTGTGCCTTCTTTGTCATTATTGTTGGTTTGTACGACTATAAACAAAAACAAAACGGGCATATTTAAAAAAGATAAAGATAAGAACAACAACAACAAAAAAAGTGATTGTATTTCTGTTAGAGGGGTTAGTTTATGGAACAACCTGAGTGATGATTTAAAAAAAAAGTCTAACACTGTAGAAGTCTTTCTAAAAGTGTATAAAGCGTCATGTTTTCAAAGATATAGAGCTCTGGAAAGTCCGAAAAACACTTTACTCAAATTTTAAAACAATGAAACACAGTAATTGAACCAGCAATAAAAACTATCCATAAGAATCCTATTTGGACATTAAATGTAGCCCATTTCTTTTTCTTTGAACATTCAGTTGACCCACATGCAGATGGTGACAAGGCAACCCAAAGGTTAGACTGCAGGGCTTAATGCTCAATTCAGATTTTTTTGTGAAATCCGATGTTTTTGCGAGGTCGTTCATATTTCCAATTAAGATAAGATAAGATAATCCTTTATTGTCTCCCATGGGAGAAATTTGTCTTGGGACAGGGGGTAACATGTTTTATCAAAAAACAGGACAACACAACACAAAGCAGCACATAAACAAACACCATAAAACAAAGTAAATATGAGACCAGTATGACCACGAGTGATGCACCAACAGGACCCTTAAATTATCCTTAACAGGCAAACCCTTGCATTCTTCTGTTCTATTAATTATTGCACATTCCCTTAGCCTATGTGCAGATTTAATTATTGCACATTCCTTAAGCCTATGTGTAGCTTTAATTGCACATTCCCTACACCTATGTGCAGTTTTGATTGCACAATCCCTAAGCCTTTTATAATTATTTTTTAACTGCATTATCTGAGTTTAGCAGTTTAACAGCTAGTGGTACAAAAGAATGTTTGAATCTGTTCAGTTTACAGTTTGGGACCCTGAACCTTCTGCCTGACGGCATCAACTCAAACTGACTGTGAAGAACATGGGTTGGGTCATTGATCACCTTCCTGCCGAGTTTCCTAACAGTCTCCTCAAAAATTTGCTGAAGTGAGCTTGGGGCCACACCCATTATTTTACCTGCTCTTTTAGTCAAGGTAAAAATCTGTGCTTTAAGTTTGACTGACAGGTCACCAAACCACGTTGACATGCCATAGCGCAAGATAGAAATGCGACTTGTATGTGAACTACAGTGTGAACATTAAACGGCCCAAAAGTGTCCCGCATGTGACACTGGAGACACGACGACGTCAACCGCAGCGAGCGTCTCTGTGTTTACAGAAGTTGTCCAAACATGGACGCAGCATCGAGCACCTGGAGATTTTAAAGTTCCTCTCGTACCGGAGCCAGAACATGAACAACTTACTTGTTTTAAGGAGGAGATTGAGAAGGAGAAGGACGAGGTTTTTGGTCGTGGTGTTTTGTGGAGCAGCGGCAGCGACGTCTGTATAAAGGAACATGTGGATGCGGAGACGTAGCCAAGAGTG